CGCCTCCCATACTTTCTTTGACTGGTCTACTCAATCTCCCTCTGAGGTGCATGCACTTTAAATTCCCCAGTTCCTTCCCAAACTCTTGAGTTCCTTCCCAAACTCTTCCCGGATCCTTTTCCTCAATCCTTCCTAGCCAGTTCCATGACCTAGTGAGAGCTGCTACCAGAGCAGACCGCACATCCTGCACCGCCTTTATAGGTCCCTGTTCGGGCACCATTTGTAGCAGTGGGGAACAAAGTGACATGGACCCCCTACTGCATCTGAAGGAGATCACTTTATTGTAAAAATCAGCCCCTTTTTATACCTTTAATTTTAACGGACGTAACTGAAACCAAACCAAGACCTAACAGAAATTAACAGAAAGAAGGCACCCATTGGCTGGCTCAGATGCCGTGCTGCTCTCCATGTCCTACCATCCAATCAGCTTCCACTCATATGCTGTCTGTGTGTTCCTTCAGCCAATCAGATTCCTGCTCATACACTCTCTGCGTGTCCTTCAGCCAATCAGCTTCCTGCTCCTACACTGTCCGTGCTTTCCTTCAGCCAATCACAATCTCCCTTCCAACTGTCACTCCGCTGACTCTCCTCCGTTGGCTCCTGCCCATCCAGCCTGCAGCTCTGCCTTTCCCATGGGGACTTGTGGTGAGCATGAGCCTTACAACTCTACCAACTGTCACCCCATATCCTACACAGCCCCATAGCAGGTACAGTTCAGGTGATCTGAACTGATTTATTCTTGGCAGAGAAGGAGGAATTTTGAGGTTTTGAAGCTCCTAACGCTACAAATCCAATGATTGGCCCATATGAGATAAAGTCTAACAGTCCTTCTGAGAGAGATTTCAACTATTTTTCTCCCTCCATCTCCGTGGCACCTTGTTTCTGTTACTGAGAAGGCTGGGTCAGGGCACTCTGAGGTCTCACTAGATCCAAGCATAGGCTGGTTCTTGCTGGGGTGTGCTGCTAGGCAGGCTGGTGGGAGCTTTCTTAGCTTGTTACAGTCTGCAAGTGGTGCAGAAGGAGTGAAAGACACAGGCTGCTGACCTACAAGCTGCTTCTGTAGTTGCAGGCAGCTGTGGCACTGTTGTGCTCCCCTGTGTGCATCCCTGCATCCCTGCTGCTCCAAAAATCCCACTCCAGCACAGCCTGCAGTCATCTCCACTCAGACTGTAACAAATACAGCTTGGCCTTTCTGCAGAAGCTTCATTTTCCTTCCCATTGCATTGCTCTTAATTTAAAACAAAAATAAAATGGACCTCAACAAGGTGCTATGAACTAGGAAAAACTTGGTACCTACCAGGGAGATTTCTTAAGCAGTCTGCAAAGCTTCAAAAACTGTGTTTGGGAGCATGATTGACCATTGGAGACCTGAAGATGCTTTGATCAGTTTTCAAAGCCTTTGGGTAGTTTATGATTCTGGGAAGATTTGACAGTTTGAGTTCTGTGTACTGCCAACTCAGAGGCCTAGATGTGGGATTGGATTAATATTGATCCTATCTCAGCAAATACCAGGCTTTTTTTTTTCTTTAAACTGTTACAGATTCATGAAAAAAATCAAAGCAGCTGGAAATGAAAGACCCTATGGGCCATCTTTTCCAATGTGCCTTCACCTGACTTAATCTGGTTCAAAGCTCAGTGAAGTCAGTGAAAAGAATCACACAATTTAAGTAGAAAATTGATGTGGCTATGTTAACAAACAAATGCCTATGGACAAACCCCAGTTTGAGTCAATTATGTGCATTAATTGTATGAGAAGAATAGAAACTAAAGACAGACATACCAAGCCCATTTCTTTTACAGTTCACATATGCAGATCATTTCTCTTGCATATAAAAACTGAAATGGCAAAGTGCTCATTCACAGAAGGAGGATGCACAAGTCTTTTACAATGACAGATGCCAGCAGAAGGAAAATGTATTTCTAAAATGCATTTCAGTAGCTCTTTAGGCAGCCTGACAAGGGCCTTAGGAGTTTCTCTTTTTGCATTTCTCTAAATATACTGGCTAGTGTAGGAAAGGCTCACTTTCCAGAACAGTTATATAATATGAACAGGACTGTGTCACATTAAAATAAACATAATTTAATAACTGTGCAAACTAGGCCCTCTTTGCATTTTCACAAAAGATTGTGAACTCTAATTGCTAATACTTACATAACTCAGGAGCATGCATCCCTCTGGTGAGCAAATGCTAGTATGTAAAAACTTTAATAACGTTGTCATTTGGCAGTGAGATTATAATAAAGTGCAAATTGTAAACCCTTATAACTCAATGGGAGGATTCCATTAGTTACTCCATTAGTTGAATCCAAACTTACCACTGAATTTCTCCAGTTCCAATTTCAATCACTACCAAGCAAATATGTGGGTATGTCCATATCCACAGAAGGGAAAATTTGGAGCAACCCATGGCAGCAACACACCACCATCTCCAAAACAGCCCCTTCACAGACACACACATTCAATATCTCCTAAATCTGCAATCCCCACTGAACCTCATATTGAAAATATTCATCCCTTTGACAGGGATCAGTCCCAGGCACGTATAGATACCCTGATTGAAGAGGCAAGAGTCTCTCTGAGCTTCCTATGTGGAAGCAAGTCCAGATGTTTGCAGGATTGTGGAGTATTCAAATCTCCCCACCGTGCACAGACCTCAGGCACTGAAATTCCTGCATCCACTGGCTGATCCTGTTCCCACACTGCTGACAAACTCCACATAGCTGCAAACAGACCCCCCAGATGTTGATCAGTGGTTCCTGTCCTAACTTTGTAATGAATGTCTTACAATTCCTGTATGATCTAGGCAGCAGGCACTGTAAGGAAGTGAGAGGGCTCAGTTTTGGCACCAGCAGTGGGTCCTACAGCCTCCTCCCCCTGTTGCTGCCTTGCAGCTGGCCCTGTGTTTGTGCCCCTCCAAAGCACCTTTAAGGATTCCCCAAGAAAGACATTCAGGTATCCCTGCCCACAAGTTTCCCATGCACCTAGCAGCCCAAAGCAAGCTTGGCCCTGCTGATTCCACACTGCCCATCTGTCCCAGCAGCAAACACCCTTCCCTTTCCTGTTCCAGTGGGGATGGGGTTTAAATGTACCTGTTCCACGCTGGGAGCGGCAGGGGCCTGTGAGAGGGCATGGAGAGGGGAGCAGAGCTGTGACACAGCACACAGAGCTCCTGGTGACAGCAAAGTGCCAGGGCTATAAATAACCTTGCACTGGGCTCCTGGCTGGGATAGGAGCTGCTCTAATGTCAGGCTCAGGGGCACATTAGGACACAGCCAACAGGCACCATTCTCCTCACCCCTGTCCCTGTGCTGCCTGCCAGGCACCGTGCTGGGGAGCAGCAGACTCTTCCTGGGGTGGGACAGCTCAGCTGGTGTTGGTGACAACTGCAGGAATCATGTCCCCCACAGACCTTGCACAGAACCAGGCATATCCATATCTCTGGATGGCAGCTGTTCCTGGGTGGCTGGAGCAGTTCCAGCACAGGAGCATGTGACACAGTGTTCACAGGGGTCTAAGGATGAGGGAAGAGATGAGGATCTGACTCCATGTTTCAGAAGGCTGGATTTATTATTTTATGATATATATTATATTAAAACTATACTAAAAGAATAGAAGAAAGGATTTAATCAGAAGGCTAGCTAAGAGTAGAAAAAGAAAGAATGACTGACAAAGGCTTGTGTCTCAGACGGAGTCCAAGCCAACTGACTGTGATTGGCCATTAATTACAAACAACTCTATGAGACCAATCACAGATCCACCTGTTGCATTCCACAGCAGCAGATAACCATTGTTTACATTTTGTTCCTGAGGCCTCTCAGCTTCTCAGGAGGAAAAATCCTAAGGAAAGGATTTTTCATAAAACATGTCTGTGACAGGAGACCACTGAGATGTGGGTACCCAAGCACACAGATAGATGCTGTTGCTTGCTGACCCTATCCAAGTCATCCCCAAAACCAAGGCCACTGTCTCCATAGCTGACAGAAATGTTCACAAACTGATCCTCCTGCCCTTCTGCGAGAAGCTGTACACCAAAGAAGGACTGCTAACCAAATTGAGTTGTTATCTGTATATTTTATGGCTATCTTCTTGTTTGTGCTGGTGTAGATCAGAAACAGATCAACTAAATTGGTCCAGAATAGTGGGGTTGCACTGATGTACATCTCATACTCTGAAAATTAAAGAGGAGCAGAGACGGCCATAATACACTTTTTTTTATTTCCATATGTTTAAGCAAAGATGGAAAAAAGATTAAGCAGAATTTAGGGTTATAAAACTGATTAATGTTGAGCCAATGCTTTTAGTTGAGAAAGACATTAAGGGGTTTTCAGAATGTTCTTTTTTAAATAGCATGAATTTATTTCTTCACCGTGCTAATTGGTGGACTGATTGTAATAACTTCTAAGAAAATGGAAAATGAAATGTAGATTCCTTATCTAGATTTTTATTCTGATGATTTTATTACAGTTTTTCTAAAAGCCATAGAGGAAGTTTGCAGAAACATTTAACTGCTGAGAGCAGTTCATTGGGTTTAGAGGGAAAATTAAAGTACAGTATTTTAAAAGCATATTTCATAGCATTTGTGAACAAAACTAGGGAAGAAAAATCCCAGTGATTAAAGTTTATTCTTGTCAGAGAATTTGAATGACCAGATTACAAAGATATATATTGTCTAAACTCCCAGATTGTTCTTATTAAAAGGTCAGATTTATCTTAGAAATAAAAATACCCAGTCTGATACCACAGTTCTCACAGAAGCCAAGATAGAGCTGTGTGCTGATGAAATGCCACAGCTGTGATAAAAATGGACCATATCCTGTGCCCTGTTCTCCTCTAACTTGGAACAATTTGTAGTATGGTGCTGGTTAACAATGGAGCATTTATGTAGTTAATTTTATTTATATGAAGGCAGTCCACTACCTAAATAATAATCATGCTTCTTTATGGATGCATTTCTTCTGATAATTTCTATAATGAGCCTGTTTCACAAAAACACTAGCACTTTTAAGGAAAATTTCTCTTTATTGCTCATGAAATTCAAGTATTTCTCTTGCACTTCACTGAATTAACTGGGACACCCCATCATGCAGTAGAGCAGCCCCTGGGCAGATCTCAGCAGCACTTCATGATGTCACAAATTGAGTGTGTGCCCCCATATTTTTGCTGAAATTAAAAGCTTTTTCTGCTCTAAGCCAAGCCTGTTTTCACCTTCTTCATGTAATTAAGTAATAATCTTTTCACTCTGATATCATTATCTGTTGTCATGGTGATTTTTGTTATAAAAATGAATGGCTGAGATGTGGGCGAAGACAAGTTTTTCCTGAACTTTGTTAAGCTAATACCAAGGGAAGAGTATCTGTGATAATTCAATAAATGTGTGGTCTTTTAGCACAGTGTATTTTAAAACAACGAGCAGGACTAGGCATCAGAGACAGAAAAGGCACATTTAATGCAAATTTATCTGTGTTTAGGAAATATGTGTTGAATTTAATGTTTTAGAACAGTGCCTGCATAACATCAGTCATACACTATATGCTGGTGCTGCACAAGCAGAGACATTCCTTTCTAAATCTCAACTCTTAGTGATTCACTTATTGGGAAAATAGCCCTTTTTTTTTTTTTTAGGAGAAAGTCTGATCAGTTTCCAAGCATGTCTTTATCACAATACAGAGTTTGGGAACAGCTACACAAGGTTCACACTTCACCTGAAAGCAGGACACCTGTTCTGGTGGGTGAGTGCACACAAAGTGTCCACAGATGAAGCTTTGCTCTGGTTTGCCAGGAGCAGGACCATGAGTCACAGTCAGTTCAGAGGAGACCTCCATCAGCTCAGTTAATCTCTGGCAGGCATCAGGACATGGTTTCTCTTTTCTGCCACTGAAACATCACAACCGAGGCTCTGAGCTGAGCTCATCTCCTCTGTCACTCTTGCCATGGTTCAGAGCTGAACCTCATTCTCCATTGAAAAATACACAATTGTGCCACTAAATGGTGGCACATCATCATGGCTTGGGAGAGGAGACCCTCATGCTTGGTGACTCCATGCCCATGGGTGGCTCTCCAGCATGGACCCTGCTCCTCTCATCTCCCATCCCAGCAGTGTCTCGGGGCTCCTCAGCCTCTTTTCCTGGAGAGTGAGGCAGCCTCTGGTTTGGCAACTGGTACCTCATGTTTGCTTTACTTCCCACACGAGTGGTTCTCATGTTTTTGTTCCTCCATGTGGCATCAACTGAGTGTGGAGGAGCCTCCAGGCACCGGCTGATGGCCCTGGCACCGTTCATGGCACAGCTGCTCCCTGCACCTCCTGCTTGGGCAGCTTTGGCACCTCCTGCCTGGGCAGCTTTGGCACCTCCTGCTTGGGCAGCTTTGGCATTTCCTGCCTGGGCAGCTTTGGCACCTCCTGCTTGGTCCTGCAGCCCTCAGGGTGGGTTTGGATCCCATTGCAAGGATTGCTCTACAAACCTTTTGTTGTCAGAACCAGCAATGATGTTTTGGTTATCATATCTGTACAAACAGTGCCAGTTTGGGTGCATAGGGACAAAAAAACCCAGAAATACAGAGATTTCAAGTTTGATTGTATTATTTATTCTCTTATGACAGTCCAGATATGATACTGATTTGGTTTTTTTTCCTTGGGGTTGGTGTTGACCTTTAGAGCAGGCCAAGGGCAATCTGGAGCTTGTCTGTGACCACAAGTCTGGGAGGCAGCATCCTGCAGCCCCTCTGAATTGAAATCTCTTTCTGGCTCTGTCAGCTGATTCCCAGGTTGCCTGACAGATAATGTGGCATGCCAGCAACCCGCTGCTTTTCCATTTAAATTAATGATAAAGTTGTGGTTAAATTAACACTCCAGCAGAGGTAATAAGGACCAACTCAGCAGCTGCCATGATGTATGCAAATTGCAGTTTCACACATTAGGAGCTAGATGTTGCCTAATTTGTAGGTCTCTCTGTCTTTTAAATGAAAGAGCCTCCATCAAGTTCAGGCAATCTTAAAACAAAAAGCAAAAGAAACTCCCCTAAGTCAACCACTCACCAGTGCTTCTAACTACAGATTTTGGAATTTTTTACAGATTCTAACTACAGTTTTTCTTCTGGGGTTTCCTCCTGAGCCCCAATAAACAGTTATTACTGAGTTACACTGCACTGCTGGGTGCTTTTAGGCAAAATATCTACTGACTTCCAAAGAACAGACAGCCTGATTAAGGAGGCACTGCCGTCCCTTTGGTATAAACAGAAACCTCATTTAATTTGCAGTGGTGCCACAATCCTGAGGCTCAATATCCATCAGGGCTTTTTCCTCTGGAAATGAAACTGTAACAGAGCAAAAGAAGAGCTGTGATAGCTGCCAGCTAATCAGACAGCAGGAGCAGGCTGATAGGAGAGTCCTTTTTCTCCTTTTATATCAGTAGAAATGGGAATGGAGATGCATAGAAGCATGTAACTGGATGGAGTTCTAGGAAAGGTTGGTTCCTATAGTTTTAATGCTCCTTAATCTTTCTAAGTAAATTATGTAACTGTGTTATAGTCAAAAGATTTCCAAATTGACACCAGAAGTGCATCCTCAGAACAGCAGAACTTGGAAAAGACTAATGTCCATCAAGGTGTACTCTGTGAGAAGGAGCAAAATATTAAAGCATTCTGAATCAAATTTTAGCTGAAATTTCAGAAATGTGCAGTTGCTTTATATATGGCTAACAATATACTTGAAGCTCACACAATCTTTTTCAGGTTTAAATCAGAAAGGCAGAGATTTCATTCTAAAACAAATCCCATCCCCATGATTTAGGGATTTGTCTATCTTTTTTGCTCTTCTGACTTATGTGGTCAGTTCTCAAAAGCTGTTGCTAGAGGTTTTTGAATACCTTTGGAGAAGATTCTCCTTCCTCTGCTTTTGTCACCAGCCCCTCCATGCTCTCTTCCTGATCCTGGATGTCATCTTAGCCTTCACCTCAGCTGGAGATGTCTTAATGACTCCTGGCATCCCATTAGCAAAGAAATAACAGGAACTTGCCCTGTCTAGTCATTATTTGGCTGCAAGTGTTGAAACAAACTCTCACAGGAAAATGCGAGATAAAAGCTGCAATGAATTTGTGGACAACAAACACTCAGGCTATGACCAAACCAGGGGGGTCTGAGAGTGATTCCCATTCCCAGAAGTGATTGCATAGCCAGGCTGGTTTCCAGCTCCCTGCTGCAGTCAGAGCTGCCCATTGCTCTCACTTCTCAAGGAAAGGAAATCTGAGCAGCCAGGTGGGATGGGAGCTGCAGCCTGCCCTGAGCTGAGCTCTTGGAGGCAGGGATTGAGGGAGAATCCCCAGGCGCCTCCATTCTGCTCTTCAGGTGCAGCTTGCCAAACTTGAGTGGTTTACTGTTCAGAACACCAAAGAAGACTGCAATTCTCTCTGCTCTGACTCTGTCATTCAGTATAAGCCCTTGTCACTCTCTTTGGTCTTTGTCTCTCATTGCTGAACCAGGATAGTGATGATTTCCTAGCAGTCTGAGAGATTAATTAGCATTTACTAAGCTGCAGAGACCACTGGCTAATTGTGCAAATACATGTTTGTGTATTCCAATAAATTCTGCATTTGCTGCAGCCCCCCAACCTGGGACACAAAGGAACCACCAAAAAAAAAATTAAAAAATTAGAAAAAAAGCATTGTTCTTCTGACAAGCAGAGGCAATAACTCTGAGAGACACAGAGTACTCCCATCATGGGCTTGAGGCATTTGTCCCTGAAGTGGTATGAAGGTGATGTTGGTTCACACACAGGCAGTCCTGAGAGCTGAGCTGGAGGAGGTTCCTCTCTCCCATTCCCATGATGTCCCAAAGGTGTCTGGGATGCCACGTGATGAAACTCTGTACCAGAGACACACAGACAGCCTGGACTGTCTGTCTCTGGGTGTCAGGGTGACTGGGAGACAGATGGTCCCAGCAGGAGTGTGAAGGAAGAACCACCAGCAGGGTTTACCCTTGGAGCCCGCAGTGAACGGTGCACATCCTGGCAGGCTGGCACCAGATCCCATCTTCACCCCATGACTGAGTCACAGGCTGCAGCTTTGTGAGTTCTCCTCTGCAGGTTCTCATGGATTAGGAGGTAAAAACTTGAAAAGATCTGCAATTCACCATCCTTTTAATTGCCCACCTACATTTGCCCATAAACATGCAGCTGATTTTGCTCAAACCTTGCAGCTGACCATAGTGGTTTATCCTACAGAAGCATAGAAAATAAACAGGAATTGGGATCCTTCAAAAAGAAATTAAAATTTCTTCTATTTCTGTTCAGAAAAAAAAAAAAAAAAAAGGATGAAGAAATGTAGCATCTTCCAAGCTACATCCCATGTGGCAATCTTCCAAACCTCTTTCCATATGTTCCTAAGTGTTGAAAGCCCAAATGTTCCCTATCTTGCTGCCAAATTCTCTGTATCAATCCAAATGGCTCTTACAATACAGTTGGATATTGTCTAGAGAAAAAAAATCCCCTCAGATAGATTGATAATTAAAAATATATTTGATCATCAGAGAGATATGAGTGGCCAAGGGGTGCTGTGCTGAATGGATCATTCATGCTCACATATTTCAAAGCAGAAGGATATCTTTGTGATCTTAATGGAGTTGCCCCAGAAATCCTTAATTGTTACAGAACATATTGCTGAAGAGATTTGGAACTGGGCACAGAGGAGGAGGCAGATGAGGCAGAGCAGAGCTCTGTGTGCCGGGCGCAGCCTGGGGAACGTGGCTGGCTGGCTGCAGGGGGAGCTTTGGGCTGCAGCAGACATCCCTGCATTGCTCTCAGCCCTGCCTCATTTCACACAGCCCCACAGAACTAAAGGAGGAATTTATCCTTGTTTTGAACCACAGCAGAGCTGCCGCTGTAATCCCATCCCTAGGGTACTCGGCAGAGATCCTGGGATGGGGTGAGGCTGCGTGTGTTGGTCAGTGCTTCCTGTACACATTTCATAGCACCGGAGGGAAAGAGAGACTCTCCAGCTTAGGAGCTGAATGTTGCAGCCTCCCATCTGCTGTCTTCTTCCTCAAACCTCCCAAGGACTAGCACTGATGAAGCTTCATGTAGGTATCTCCATCCAGGAGCTCACCCTCCTCTTGTGTCTGAAAGTGCAGCATCTCCAAACCTCAATTTCCATTTAAAAACTTACTGTAGCTCCAGAGAAGGTTCAGTAATGTACCTGAAAAAGTCAACAAGGGAAAATAAGCACGTGCTGGTGTCAGAGCATAGTACTGTGGACTGGAATGTTCCCATCTGCAAGAGTTCAGGAATCCCCTCCAACAGGTCTGCAGCAGGAATGTGAATTGGTGTTAGGAGTCTCCAGCAGCTGCAGATGCCACTGCCTCCCCAGCACAAACAAAACCACAGATACCTGTGCTACAGGAGAGTCAGACTGCAGCCAAGATAAATGGATAACTTGTGTTGGAGGAAACAGGATGAGGTTTGGGGAGTGAACTCTCAGATACTGTAACTTGTGATGTTATTAACAGTACATGCTCCTAATTTTACAATAAGATCAGACGGCAGGTGTTGATGGCCTTGGGTGTTGAAGCATACAAAGCTCTGGTGACCATCTCTTCATGTCCTGAGATTGTCCAAGAAGCATTGCCATCTTACACAGGAGATGCTTTGGGATGATTTGTCCCGTTTATCACTGCAATGCTTCTCCTTTGACTTCTCCTTTCTGTGTATCCCTGGGTCAATTACCACATGCATTAATTCAGCCTAGGAGAAAAACCAGTGAGTGCATTTTTCTGGGCTAGAAGGTATAAAGTAATTGTAGCAGACACTATAAACATTAAATAAGTGAGAAGGAATAATTATGAACCAGAGGCAAGCAGTGATGAGTACTTAGTACAGAACAGGTCACCTGTGATTTCATGGTATTAGGGCACAACGCTGAGCACAACTGGGCCTTAGTTCTGTTGGTCACCTGGTGCCATCACAGTAAAAGAGCCCTCCCAGGAGCTAGCAGTGCATTTGGGGTAAGGTTTCTGCAAGACAATAACATCCTGCCTAACACCTATACCAGGGTGGCAGAGTATCTGCCACAGTTCTTTTGTTGTTCCATAGCACAATGCTTTATTTTTTTCTGCATGTGTATTTCACACTAGGTATATTTTTTATTTTCTCTGGTTCTATTTCCACTTTGCATCAGTGTGAGCAGGAGCAGGATCAGGCCTCCAGTTAAATAACCAATGCAGCTGTTTTGCTGAACCAGCTTCCTGGCTGGGAAATGAATCCAGTCAGCTGTGGATCACAAACCCCAGTAAGGGAGATTTCAAAGATTTCATACATTCATTTTTCTTGTTAATATTTGAAGAGTTACTTTTCTTTCAAAATCTGTTAGGCAGATGTTAGGAAGTAATTACTGTACATGAATCAGAAGGAGAATGCACATCTTATATTGAACATGAGTGGACTGAGTAAAGAAACTGATGATAGATGAAAAAAAAAGCTAAAATAGATCTGAGTGAAATATGCCTGAATTTGCCTCAGGATTATAAGGAGGAAGGAGCACAGGCAGGCTCCTCTCGTGAGCCAGGTGTTCATTGTCTTTCCAGCACAAGCAGCCAATGCTTTTTTATCAGCAGCACAACCATTGAGAGAAATTGGCCCTGGCTGGGCAGGGAGAGTTGCCATCAACACCAATATCTAATTGCTTTCCAGGCAATTGCATCAGTGTCCAGTGTGCTGGACAGAGCTCAAGCCTCACAAAACTGAAATACTCTCAAGTGTCCCAAAGAATCCTTAGATCATGGAGCACATGGATATGGCTGATAGGACTGATCATATCTGCTAAACTCTTGTCTCCACTTACAGATTTATTGTAATTTTTATGTATAAATACAAACAATCTTCAAATGATAGTGTCAGGAGTAATAGCACCAGAACAATATGATAGAAAGCAAAACTGTAGGGAAAATGTTGCCCTGAATAATGCAATTGTCCAGGCTGTGGTATTTTCCAGGCCACAATATCCCATATATTTACAAACCTGGGCAATATTCAGTGGCTGAAAACATTGCTGCTTCCACTGTACCCAGTGCTCTGATGGATAGACTTTGAGATGAAATTGGAGTTAGTAATGATATAATTGGGTAAGCAAAATCAGGAGCATTAAGAATGGATTCTGCCCTCAGCTTGCCTCCAGTATTCAGCCCTGTTTTTCTCTGCACTGGTTTCTCCTATGTAAAATACAGAAATCATTATTTCTTTCTGAAGTACTTTAAAATCTCAGGTTCAGAGTACTGCATTAGAGTTAAATAAAATATCTCAGCAGCTGATAATAAAAATACTGTGAGTCTTTTCCCATCATTAGCAGTTAATGCCCTTCAGAGATGGGGTTTCTGTAATTACCTTTATGCCACAATGAGGCTGGAGCAACTGAGGCTGTAATCAAGGAAATGATTCACCTGTACTGTGAAAGCTGCCTTAAGATGCTCTTTAGGGACATAAAACAGACCTTCAGATTGTGCTTATTGTCACACATAAAGTCAATTTCATTCAAAATACAAATTTCACATCAGTGACTACAGCCTTCTAAATTCCATCCAGAGTCTATAACCTATAAACACCATAAACAGAAATGTAACAAAGGAAGCCTTTAAAATTACAAACCAGGCAGAATGTTTAATATTTAAAGTCTAATTTACAATATAAAACCCAATTTTGAGAAATGCTATGAAAGCATCGGGTTGGGTGCATTTTAGAGCAGCATTTGTCACAAAAAAGAGCTTGAACATTTGGGTTGCCAAGGCAGAAACAAGCATCACAGACTCTTTTCACCCTTATGGGGATTCATCAAGGTTGTGCAGTGCAGCTGTTGTCTTAGTAAAAGAAAGTATCAGCCCCTGGCTGAAGGAAACAGAAACATAATTATGATGAGCTGGAAAACGTGCAAAGAAAAATTGGAATGCAAAGCATGATAAATGATGCTTTGTCAATTGCAAAGCAGCAAGAAAAGCAGGCAGCACAATAACAGCCCTTCTCCAGTCAATGCTTCCAGTTCAGCTACCAAAATAAAGCACCACTCTCTGCATGGCAGGGTAGGGCTGCCTTTTGGCTGTAGCATTTAGCCCTGGTGCAACAATGCTGGGTTTGCAAGAGTGGATTATGCACTCAACCTTAGGAATAAAAGTGAGAAAAAGAAATAGTCAGGTACTCCTCAGAATTGAGACCATTATTCCTGTTAGAGAAAATTCATAGTGTCATCTTACTCTGATTTTTATCCATATTAAAATTCCAAGGTTTGGACCTTCTCCTTCAGGTTCCTTTTGATTATGTTTTTTGCCAAGGTGACCAGCATTTTATGAGCATTACTATGGTCCTGTGCAAGGAAATGCCATTCTGTGAAAACATCCTTTAAGCTGTCTGTGCTCACACTGACAAGGGCAGGATTTCCCTTTCTCCTTACACCACTGAAGTTCATTCTAGAAATGAGTACAAATCCAGAGGGAAAATTGGACTAATTATACGCCAGGACAGGAAACTTTTATTTAGACATTGCGAAGATAAAAAGGGACAAATGTCTAAAGAAATCCTCTAGATAAAGGGGTAGAATGAATAAAAAGAACCCAAACCAACCCAGCTGAGGGTTTTTTGGTAGGGCTGCAATGCCCACGTGCAGCCCTTGCCCAGCAGAGCTGAGGCTGTGCCCTCTAGTGCTGGCACAGCTGAGCCTGTGCTCTTCCAGACCTCTGAAAAACCTCTTCATTCCCAAGGCAGAGCTGTTCTCAAACCAAAAGGCTGCCAAAATAACTCCATCAACCTCCCTCCTATGGAAAAAAGCTCTAGGGCAGAATTTCCACTCTCATTTTGAATTTCCTGCCTCTGGAAGATGCCTTCCTCTTAATACTAAAAATGTCTCAGAATCTGGTACTAATAATCTTGTGGGGGTTTTAGTAAAACAAAAAAAAGCCAAACAAAAAAACAAATGAACCACCCAACAAAATATGCATTGCTTCTGTAATGAAAAACAACCAGTTCTCAAATTAGCATCTGTGTAGGATAGGTAATCTTCTATACATCAGTTTAAAAGGCTGAAACTGATATTCAATTACTGTATTTTTAAGTGTGTATTTTTTTTTTGCCCTGTCAAATAAGCAGCACAGGCAAGATAATAATCACTCCACTCATACAGCTGCTGTTTGCAAGTCACAGATTTATGACTTTTCATTACAGCATGATTTGCAAGTTTTTATTACCTATAAAAAAATTAGGAATATTTTTACCAGTAATTATTTTTATTTACATGGTAAAATTGCTTTATTATTTGACTGTAGTTTACATCTAGGAGTATTAACCCACTTGTAACTTAATCTAATAGTTTTACTCCTACTGATTAGGGAAGGTGAGATTACTGAGGGGCCACAAATGAGTGGAAGCCTGCAAACAATTTCTGTGATACTCATGTATTCCCTGTGCTTACCCTTCAGCCTTTCTCCTGTCACACCAATTTGTGAGGTGGCCCATGAGGCTGTAGAATTTTGCCGAACAATCTTGAGCTACTTATAATTCCTCCTGGCATTGTTAAGATTAAACTGATCAATACAATATTTTCCTCTAGTATTTTCTTAGTCTGGTTTGCCTGACACCAAGCTTCTTTTTTGGCTGCAAGACATTAAAAGAGATATTTTACAGGCAAGTGAGAACAGTTCATCCCAGCCCCCACTTCTGCCTCATCCCCATACATGTCTTGTTCAGGAAAACCAACAGAAAAGCAAAGGCAGATTACAGAAATAAGTAAAGGTGAATGCCTGGACTCCATCTAAGGATTAATAATAATAATTTTTAAAACAGCCAAAGAGAAGGGAAAATTCAAATTAGTTACTCTAAACTGACAGCTTTAGTGGCATTGGCTTCTTTGATTTTCACTTGATTTCAATTCTTCCTCTTCATGCTTCATTTCCCATCATTTCCCAGATGTTCTATTGCTTGTGCTGTCTGTTGCTCTCTCCAGCTGCTCCCTGACTACTGTAACTTCCAGCATTTTTCTGGTTTTGCAGCAGATTCTTCCATAACCACATACTACTAATATATTTTATTATTCTGTCCTCCTCCTCTGATATTTTTTTCTCCTTCTTGTCAGCAAAAGTTCACTTTGTGATCCTGGTGAGCAGAATCCCAAGTGGTTTAGCACACACAGCCGATCAAATCTACTCCTCAAACAAAACCACTGCTTTAAAACTTAGGAATATGGTGCTGTCAACAAGAGCAGGAGGATCTCATACAGTCTATTTGCCTTTGCATGCCAACAGGACAGGATCCATTAAAAATTCATTTTGGGAACAAAAGCCTAACTGCAAAGAAAGTCCTTGTTCCTTGTTCCCTTACCCTGCTATCAGAGCTACACACCAGCCTGCTCTCTTCTCTTCTCTTCTCTTCTCTTCTCTTCTCTTCTCTTCTCTTCTCTTCTCTTCTCTTCTCTTCTCTTCTCTTCTCTTCTCTTCTCTTCTCTT